TCTTAATTTACTTATGATTGGTCTTAATAATAATGATCGGTCATTGATTACAAACGATCGGTCATTAATTCCTAACGATCTCTCTTAATTTGCTCATGATCGGTCAAAAATACTCATGATGGGTCATTGATTACTAAAAATCGGTCATTAATTACTACCGATCTTTCTTTATATACTCGTGATCAGTCAATAATCGCTCTTAATCAGTCATTATTTACTAACAATCGGTCATTGATTATTATAATGATCTCACTATTTACTCATGATCGGTAATAATTTGATTACTCATTATAGGTCATTGATTAACAGTGTCACTGATAATCAGCGACATCCGTCATTGATTAACAGTGGCACTGATATTCAGCGACATCCATCATTGATTAACAGTGGCTCTGATAATCAGCGACATGCATCATTGATTAACAGTGGCTCTGAAAATCAGCGACATTCGTCATTGAATAACAGTGTCACTGATAATCAGCGACATCCGTCATTGATTAACAGTGGCTCTGATAATCAGCGACATCCGTCATTGTTAACAGTGTCACTGATAATCAGCGACATCCGTCATTGATTAACAGTGACACTGATAATCAGCGACATCCGTCATTGATTAACAGTGGCACTGATATTCAGCGACATCCGTCATTGATTAACAGTGGCTCTGATAATCAGCGACATCCGTCATTGATTGACAGCGACACTGATAATCAGCGACATCCGTCATTGATTAACAATGGCACTGATGATCAGTGACATTCGTCATTGAATAACAGTGACACTGATAATCAGTGGCATCCGTCATTGATTAACAGCGATACTGATAATCAATGATATCCGTCATTGATTAACAGCGACACTGATAATCAGTGGCATCCGTCATAGATTAACAGTGACACTGATAATCAGCGATATCCCTCATTGATTAACAGTGCCACTGTTAATCAGTGACATCCGTCATTGATTAACAGTGACACTGATAATCAGTGACATCCGGCATTGATTGACAGTGACACTGATAATTAGTGAAATCCGTCACTGATTAACAGTGGCACTGATGATCAGTGACATCCGTCATTGATTAACAATGGCACTGATAACCAGTAACATCCGTCATTGATTAATTGATTAATTGTCATTGATTAATCTGATAATCAGTGGCATCCGTCATTGATTAACAGTAACACTGATAATCAGTGGCATCCGTCATTGATTAACAGTGATACTGCTAATCAGTTACATCCATCATTGATTAACAGTGGCACTGATAATCAGTGGCATCCGTCATTGATTAACAGTGACACTGATAATCAGTGACATCTGTCATTGATTAACAGTGGCACTGATAATAAGTGGCATCCGTCATTGATTAACAGTGACACTGATAATCAGTGATATTTGTCATTGATTAACAGTGACACTGATAATCAGTGACATCCGTCTTTGATTAACAGTGACACTGATAATCAGTGACATCCGTCATTGATTGACAGTGACACTGATAATTAGTGAAATCCGTCACTGATTAACAGTGGCACTGAAGATCAGCGACATCTGTCATTGATTAACAATGGCACTGATAACCAGTAACATCCGTCATTGATTAACAGTGACACTGATAATCAGTGGCATCCGTCATTGATTAACAGTAACACTGATAATCAGTGGCATCCGTCATTGATTAACAGTGATACTGCTATTCAGTTGCATCCGTCATTGATTAACAGTGATACTGCTAATCAGTTACATCCATCATTGATTAACAGTGGCACTGATAATCAGTGGCATCCGTCATTGATTAACAGTGACACTGATAATCAGTGACATCTGTCATTGATTAACATTGGCACTGATAATAAGTGGCATCCGTCATTGATTAACAGTGACACTGATAATCAGTGATATTTGTCATTGATTAACAGTGACACTGATAATCAGTGACATCCGTCATTTATTAACAGTGACACTGATAATCAGTGACATCCGTCATTTATTAACAGTGACACTGATAATCAGTGACATCCGTCTTTGATTAACAGTGGCACTGATAATCAGTGACATCCGTCATTGATTCACAGTGTCACAGATAATCAGTGACATCCGTCATTAATTAACAATGATCAGCAATAACAAATAGTTAATATATAATCGATGGTATCCTGAGAATGATGAATGGCAAACAATGATTATTTAAAAGATTTTCCGCTGCTTGTTTTAATAAATAGAACTGAAAACTAGATAACCTGACTGACTAAAAGTACATGATACAAATATGCGTCCAATAATATTTCAAGAAATGAGTACGTTTAGAGCACAAATATTTTAAAATATTAAACAAAATGCAAATGCCAGTGTAAATTTGATCTGTTTTTTCAGTATAATTATGTCTGAATTCATACCACAATAATACCATTACCACTATATATATATATATATATATATATATATATATATATATATATAATCATTTCAAGGTATTTTATTAATTATATTTTATAGTCTAGTAAAATTTAAATATTTTTATTTATATATTTATATACTTTTTCTATAAGTTTGTATTCTTAATATTAAATTTGATATGTTTGAAAAGCTGAAAATGATCTAATTTTAATAGGCATAAGTATATAGTTTTTTTAGATATAATTATTTTAAAGTACGTTTATAACAACGTTATGATTGTATGCTTTCATAATAATTATGATACATTCTAAAGAACAATAACGTAAAGTATTGAAATGTACCTAAACTGTATCATAAAATGAGATCAATTTTTAATAACATTATATTAGATACTTTGCTTTGATTTTACTGGTAATTCAGCCGAAGGCAAGATTTTCGAAGCAATCATTAAACTTAATTGTTATCAAAATTTTCGAATAAGTCTTGTTTGATTAGAAAATCTTGCTTCCCGGTGATTCTACAAAACAATTCAATTCTTCAACAAATAATTTAACACAACTTCAACAATAAATTAAAAATTAATTAATATACAGTTCATAACTTATAATACTTTTAGCAAGATCAATTTGATTTATTTACCTTTGTATTTTTGCTCAAAAATATATGATCTGCTATCAACAGTTTAAGTACAATGTTTAAATATATTTCTATCACTTGTTCATAACTATCATAAATTTCAAAACGCGAAAATTTTACAAAGTATTGCTTAGTTTATATTTTTATATAGGTGAATGTAAGTTTTTATCTGAAGAAGACAACGATTTTTGAAGTCTTCACGAGCTATCACATAAAAATAAATCATTTTTCTTCGAATCAATATTTTCGAAAATATTTCCTAATTTTTATTTCCACACATATATTCATCACGCGGGTGAAGACTCCATAAACAAATATATTTAATATCCCTAAGATTATTTATATAGGTACTTAGATTTTTTATTTAAAATTGACTTAAACTATCATTACATACTATTGACTACTAATAATATATAATTAAAAATATTTAATTTATTCATGAATTGTGTCACAAATTCCTACAGAATGTATTTTCTATAGTGTTTTTTTAACTGTGTTAAGATTAAAATTAGTGGAGCAAAATATGAAAAGCATTTTCGAATTATGTTTAAATAGTATTTGAAATCAGAAATATTTTAAAGGACTAGATATAATCATAAAATAACGATTAAATAAAGAAACGTATACAATAGTTTAGAAGATAATAAATAAAATATAAAGTATATATTTATAAAGGCGACAAATGTAACAAAAAATATGTTATTTTTTCTAACAAAACGATATTTGCATAAATCATTTTTTTACATATCTATATATACACGTCGCTCAAAATTTTTTTGTAATACGTTCTGATTCTTATTTAATTCTTATTAGATTCTCATTTTCAAGTTCCAAGAATGTAAAATTACATTGTCGAAAATTTTTCAAGCATCAACTCTGTTGTCAAACTGGAATGTTTCTTTTTTTCCAAATTTTACAATCGTCAATTGAAATTTTACTAAATTAATTTTTTTCTTTAAAGATGTAATAATAATTTACGGCTCTCTCAAATCAAGTTTAAAATATTTATTTTACATTACATTTTTTTTCTTAATACCGTTTGATTTAATATTATAAAACAGTACTACTTAAATATTTATTTGCAGTATTATATAACTTATATATTTTATTGATTTAACTTATTTAGTACCTGAATCAAAATATTTTTGAATAAAAATAAATAACACAATTGTGTACCAAATATAACCATGAAAAATACTCTTTGACGCTTCTGTTGAATACTTTTGATAAGAATATATATCTTTTTAAATGATGATGCTAACTAATGAACTTACTAAAAAAATTTGCACTTATTGCAAATCCATCGTTTTAAGATAACTACTTTAAAAATTTTAAATGACTTAATATTCGTATTTATTACTAAACTCAACAATTTATTAACAACGTTTTCACTAAATCGGTACAATGTAGCATTATAAATGTGCTTTCACACTTGACAAAATAATGCTGTAGCACTGCCTAGTATAATACTCCAACGAATTTTGCGATTAAAGCTGTTATTTTTTAAAAATTAATTGTTAATTACCATAAAAACATACTATATAATTAGTAATATATATTAAATAATATTTGAATTATGTCCCAATATAAATATTAAACGTAATATTATCGGAGACCAATAAATGCACAGTTGGATAATGACTTTTAAATAATATTTGAAATATATTGCTTGAATCATGTGACGTGATAAATTAATTAGTAAAATATATTCTTTTAGGTTTTATTAAGGATATTTTTAGCTTTATTTATCATTGCAGGATATCTATAGAAATAAGATACCTTTTATCCCTCCAAGATAAAACCATTGCACTGATAATTATTGCTTAGACATATGTAAATTGCAAATTATATTCAGATAGATAGTATTAATATATATATTAGTAATTGTTCATTCAACACAAAACAATTTTAAAAATTGGTTGTTCAAGATATTGAATTATTATAAATGGTTTAATGACGATTTGGTTTTCGAGAGGGGCAAACAAAGACACACTGCCAACTCAATTTCGAAACGAGTTGCGTCGTATCAAAATGTTCTCGGGTATTGTCGTATCAACTTCGGTCGCATCGTTAGGACACGATCTGGAATCGAATCGAATTATATCAGCAAAGTCGTATTAACACAATCTGAAGTTGTCTCAAGTTAATCTCGTCGTATTAATAATGTTGTTTCGAATCAAATAGAGGCAAACTTTTAACTGAAGCAGGTTGCAGTCTAAATTGTCAAAACTGTTCAAATTAATTTCTGATTTAACTTGTCAATATAATTTCAGGTGTGCAGATTTTGATAAAATAATTCAGAAAATAAAAACAAAATGTTATACATTATATCCAAATAATTAATTAAAGCAGTAGAATTTTTTTAAAAATATTTAGAAAATCTAATAAAAATCTAATCTTGAATAAATTGAACCAGTTTGTAAATACTAATTTTTTGTAATTAAACAAAACATTTTTTTAATGTTGTGGAACTGAATGCTAAAATTTGTTCAAACCAAATTCCAAAAATTTCAAAAAAGAGCATAGTCATATGTGCATGAATTGAATGTTAATCAATTTTTAACTGATTTTTTTTTCTTTTTTTTTTTGACAAAAATCATGATTTAGCCACTTTACCCGGGTTAAGATTTTCCGGAAAACAATATCGAAGTTGAGATCTGTAAATTGCGTATGAAAAATTTTTATGAGTAGAAGTTTTTGTTAGTTATTTTAAAGACCTGTTTTTATCTTCTGAACAATAAAGAATTGTGTCAAATTTCCAAGTACTCAATAAATATATCAAGAATATCGGTCAAACGTCTAATTTAAAATTAAATGCATTTTGGTAAATAGTAGACAAAATTTAGCTAACTAAACTAAAAAAATTTTAATACTCTGATTGTCTTAACCTTTTTTAATAAAAAATAAATGCTTTAAATAAGTCATTTTGAAACTACCAACAATTTTATAAACATAAATGTTTCGTTGCATTCGTCTACGTTATTTCATTGTTATTATTTAAGCATATCACATAAAATCACTCCAAAAATCCAAATCGTCCTGAAGTGAAGATTCTTCAGGATTCATTGCGCCGTGCTCAGTGCATCTGTATTAGAAAAATTTTCACGACTTGTTATAAATTTTCAAGAATTTAATATTGGATATTGAAGCGTGATTGGATGATGCTAATAAAGCCATGCAGGTGCTATTAAATAATATTAATATTAATAGACAATGATGCAGTATTCTATAAAACAATGAAAATTGTGGAGCTACCAAGCAAAATAAAATAAACAAAATAACACTACTATGAGAATTCAACGAATGAGAAACACCGAATATTGGACTTGCCCCGTACAATAAGTAAAATTCTTTTATGGATATTTGCAACAAGAAACAAAAATCACACGGTGAAATGGGTAATTAGATAAAAAATAATTTGCAATATAAAATAAAGCAATAAAAACCTAGCCAAATATGGAAATCATTTCCATAAAATTTCCAGTCAAAAAATGATTCTACGTATAATAGAAAGTACAACACGAAATAGGTAACCAATGAAAATCGTTACATATTTTGTGCTGTTGTTAAAATTGTAATGTTTGAGATTTCAAAATAATGTTTTGAATATCACCATTATAAACAACAATACAGAAGTACGAATTGCTCTATCCAACCAACATTGAAATTCCTTGGATCGGTTTGCCAAATCGCCAGAAATGAATTTAAGAATCAATTTAAGATCAATAACAATAATAGGCATTAAGTTAAAATTTAATATTTTGCGTTGAATGTTTCATAATAGAGAAAGTAACAAGTACCCTTGAATATATACGGTTCATAAAATTGTGCAGTAAATATTAGGAAAAAAACAGTTATGGCTTATAGGCATATACAGAATAATTTTAACGTATAAAGAATACATATTTAAATAGATATTGAGACCAGTTAATTCTCCAATAAAACATCTAATATATTGCATTTTGACAGTTTTTACTACAAATTTATATAAAGAAAGGACTGTAACGTAGCGTTGCCATAACAACGATGTTAAGGTCTATATTATACGTTCTTATTTGCTTGATATGAGAAATATATTAGAATGGAAGAGAATATAATGAATCAGTATTGATGCCTCATTCTAGAAGTTTTGTTATACTTCATCTTGCCACTATAGATTAAATTAATATATATATAAAATTATTTTTTCAAATATCAGGTATTCATAACGTTTAGAAATTGCTTTTCTAGTTAATAACATTGTTGGTATTTCCGCATTTTTTAAGTTACGGCCAAAACATTTTTAGTTTTGAATATACTAGAAAATATGTGTTATATACTCGTATGTAAATAACAAATGTATTTTAAATTTTAATTTTATGCAACACTTTGAACGAATAAAAATTAGCTAATAACTAACTTTAATGCACATTGTTGCATCATACTTGAACTTATTAATTATTATATAGATTTAAAGAAGGGTGAAAATTCGTTCTGAGTTGTCTGGAGCTATGTCGTCAGAACAACATATTAATTTCACTTGTCTACTTTCTATTAAGTAGTTGGTTAATTTTCGTAAGATTTAAAAAATAAAACAGAAACTAATGAACCAATTCCCGCAAAATATGCAAAAATGTTCAAAGCTGTTATGAAAAGCGCATGCATAATATTTCTGCCAAACTTCAAATGAATCTGGAAACCGATGTAAAATGCATACAACAAAATAATAATTACATAATGACTAATAAAGCGAAAAAAACAATAATAACATGGAAAAAATAAAATTATAATAAAATCCTACCTGTTTGGATCTGTGGTAGGCTGAAAGGTGTCCACGCGAGGGGGCGACCTTTGGAGGGCAGCCTGGTAATCCGGCTGGGCCGACTGCTTCTCTCTTTCGGCTCGTTCTTTCTGCAATCTACAATTGATAAAATTGATTAAAATGATATAAAATCATATGAATACTACATTGGTATATCTAAATCCAAAAAAAAAATCAAAACGTTAATCGCCATGTCAGTCTTACGTGTTTGGAGCTGAGAAGTTCTACATGACCCATAAGAGAGATATACACGTCTGACACGTCTGACATACACGAAGGAGTTAGAAGTTTTAAGTAGTTATGGAGGACCATGTTAGTCATATAAGTGCAACCAGGCATTGACAAAATAATTTACTTTTCTTGGAATTTTTTTGTCCAAAGTTCCCTTGGAAAACTTTGAACTAAATTATCTAATACAGTTTCCATCGACCACATGAAAATTTGTCTGATATTATCGCGACGACCAACGTGTGGTAAAAAACTGGTATACTATATTGCAAATGTTCGGAAAAATGTAATATGTCTATACCAAATCAATGTTCGATGTTCATTGGCTAAAAATGAAATTAAATATTTACATCAATTAAAAATATACTTACTGTAGTTTGAAAACTTCCATCCCACATACTGAAGGCGTAATAAAAAATTGAAATCATGAAAATCTTTAAAGCATTTATATAGAAATATATATCAGAATCTATCTGATGTATGAAAATCTAAGATATTTATTTCAAATCACTTGAAAAAATACTTAAATCTAATTTATTATAATATTTCAAGAGTTATGGCATTAATAAATAATACTTACATATTTTTTGATTGTCTCATAAACTGTTGAATTTTTCTAGCTGCCTGATGTTGCCTCCTTTGGGAATATGTTCGTCTAAAATAAAAGAAAATAAATAAATGCCAGAAGAAATGTACTACAACATATAATGTACAATAAGTAATGTTGAATTAAATTTTTGAACAATTATCTAATACTAAACTAAAAATTCCTAATAATAATTATATATGAAATTGATATCCATACACAATTATAAACAATCCGTATAGACTAAAAATATACAAATTTCAAAAAATTTAGAAAATTTAAAATATTTGATTTCTTAAATCAATTCTAATTTTTGAGTTGTGTAAATTTACAATTTAAATAAAATAAATATATTTCCATTATACTTACTTCAATCCAGTGCCGGACGGAGTAGTTTCGCGAGTTGTTCCTGAACTTTGAGTTCGGCCCTGATCTCGGTAACTTCTATAATAGTTTTGAATGCAGGAAGCAGCTTGCTGATTCTTCTTAAATCGTTTATATTCGCAATAGGATCGAAAACCGTTCTGTATCACCAAAGCAGCTTGAGTCATTTGCTTAAAATAGGCATACTGGAATAAAAAAAAATTAAAAATTAAAAATTAATTCTGCCTAAAATTGAAATTTTAAATCAGTAATTATTAATGTTTCCATAAGACCAAATGCTAGTGTATTAATTCATGCATTATCATATCGAAAACTGCATCAAATTTTATTATTTTTAAGAAAATGTGTATAAAAATCAATGCAAAAAATTCAAGTTGATATTGGTCGTATTTTTTTCACTTTATAACTTTATTACCTGTTTATATCGTCTGTAATAGTTTTGAATAAGAATAGCAGCAGCACGTTCCTTGTCCTGTTCTTCCAGTTTTTGACGCCCTTTATAGATTCTGTAAGCTTGCTGAATGGTTTTTGCTGCTTCATATAATTCACGTTGCTCACGATCTGAAAAATATAATATATTTCGTAATGTAAATATTCATATTATATAAAATTCCAATACTTAGAAAATAAAGAATATTTTTAACATCATAATTAAGTATATTGCAACTATTAAGAAGTTAATTAAAATTTATTAAAAAAAAGTTAGAGACATTGTGTATAAAAATATAATGAGAAAAGTGAAAACAGTCTATAAAGTTGAAAACTATAAAATTTTATAATTATTATGATATGCATGTAATAGTAATCAAAAATTATTTAAATTATTTAAAGGTTGCAATTAAGTTCTTGTCAGCTTTAGAGAAATGTGGGCTATAATCATAGTTTTATAGTTTCATTATACCTGAGAGAGTCAGCTTATTAAAATCTGATTCAAAAGGTCCAGCATGCAAAAAATCACAATGATCTTGCGTAGTCGGAGGTGGTGAAGGCGAATCTAATGTAAATGAAGCTGGACTCTGCAGACAACTGCTGCTGGCAGGACTTAGGCTTGAACAAGGTGTACCAGCATCGTAATACCTGAAAAATATTTGTACAAAAATTATGCTTTTTACAATTTTTAGTTTTCTTAATTTTCTAGATTTTTTACAAACCTATAGTTATGATCGGAATGTTCAAAATTGAATTCTGAGTGATCAGATTGTGATTCTAATAAAGGTTCCATAAATACGTCTCCAAGAGAATCGGATGGGCTAATACCGCCGCAGGGTGATCCTAAGTGCATGTCTTCTATTTCATTCTGAATAAAATGAAATAAAACTAATTATCAGATATTAAACAAGACTTACGTAGTTTTTATGAGATATTTGCTGGACGGTTTTAATTTTAAAATAGTTCAAAAAAAATTTACAACGTGGTTACAAGTGCAAGATACAGGATATTTTCTGAATAATTTTGCTAATGAATAATTCAAGTAGACAAATCACAGGTCTATTAACAGACGAAAGGCTTTTGAAAAAATAATTTTATCGTACAGATAAAATAATATTTTTCTCTAATATTTTTATCTACCTTGATTCTTTCTGGCATGGCTGCGATAATTTGTTCTGCTAGGGTCAATACTCTCACGTCAGGTTCCCCTAAAAGTTAAAACAATTAAATTAATAAAATTATTCCGTAAATACTATTAATAAAATATTATTACATTTAAATTTTAAAGCTATACATAAAACAAACATACTTTTGCGTTACAATATCAAACTGTACAGCCCCATAAGCTACAAATATCAGCCGACAAATATGTCATAGAAAAATATTTTTTAAAAACCACCACCAAGCAATAATTTTTGTTTTAATTATTACGTAAACTTAAATTCATTTATGAAATGTTTAGGAAAGAAATGACTAATCTTCAGTTGAAAACTATTTTTCACACTAGTATACCTACTATTTGTATTGCATATTTCATGAAAGTTTAAGATATTGAAAAATTATCTTTTTTGGTACTTTCTGATTATGCCATATTAATCAATGAAAATCGAGTGCCGAATTAGTATTAATCGATGATTAGTTTGAGAAGTCTAATTAGGCAATAGTTGAAAAATTACAATTTTCAGATAAAGATTATTAAAAGAAAAATGTTGTAATAAATAATCAAACTTAGTTTTAAAATTTAAACGATCTCTTAATCAACGTTGGTAAATATGGTAACATTTTCTTCAACACCAATTATTTGCTAAAATATATGTTGTAAACTTTTTGTTATTGTTCACAAAATAATGAATTTAATTTTCAATAATTTGACTTACTTTATATTTAGGGTTTAAAATTATTTAAAAATTTATTATTAATGAAGTAAATTTTTTTAAAAAATATTCTTGTATCTATTTTCAGCAAGTAAGTAATTTACATCTCGATGTCTCTCGAATTCCAATAATTACATATATTAGCCAGATTTAAAAATACTTAATTAATAAAAATGAAAACATTTTTAAAACATAGTACAAAAACACACATATTGATATTCAACCATGATTTGTTTCCAAAGTAAAATTTTCAAGTGTGGGAAAATTTTTGATGTATAAGAATTAAATTTGGGAAAAACTAATACTACTTGATTTTTTTTAACAAAAACCAATGTCTTATATAGTGAATATCCAAAATATTAAATTAAAATTATTAAATATTAAGATAAAAGAAAATAAAATATATTCTACATTTTTTCTTTGGTATATAAGTACCCATGCCATCGCAATAATTCATCTACACTAAAAAACTACTTACTTACTTGTGTTTCTATCACTTTAATATTATTGAGAGTTTGTTTGTGAGTATTTTATATTAAAATAATGTATAAAGTGTTCATAAGCAGTGGCGTATGAAAAATCTACAGTATTGTGAGTAAAAATAAACCAAATATAAAATCATACATACCTCTATATTGCGTGTTAATAAAAGTATACAACAAATGCGACCACAACATGTAAATTACAGAGACAGATGGGAGCAGAAGAAACGATTTTTAATCATAGGTAAAACAGCGAAAGTACAGATACACAACACAAAACCTCTCGACCTCCACAATGCCAACATCAAAAGATTCGACACTCAGAAAATTCACGAAAAATAACCTCAAATAATACTTTTCAATGCAAAACATCTATAAATTTCGATAATAATCTATTTCAAGTATTATTTTCGGTTTTTGCTAAAAACCAAATTTGTTTGGTGTTTTTCGAGCCTAAACTTGCCTACGACGTTAGAGTTGCTGGCTGATGAGCAGCCAGCCTCCTGGTTAGAATTTTCCTGGTTAATTTTGCAGCCTGCTTCATCGGAAGATAGATTACGGCTTGCTGACTCGCCTGCATAACGCATACGATTCAATATAAAGAATATAATAAGAAAATATTATTTTATTAAAGAAGTTTGCTTAATGTCCCTTTCAACAATTACTTATAAAGATGCTTCAATTTTTACAATAAATTTTAATATGAGCAAATAACTATGCAAATGTACGTGTTGCTTTTTAATTAAATACTTTAATAATTTATTTCGGCTCCAGATAGTTATAGTTCATTATCATAGGCTATGTGAAACCATCATCTGATAGAAAAAAAAAAGAAATTTTAGATTTTTTCAATATAATACTCCGTTTAATATCAATTATGTTCTCCTTAAAATAAGGATGGGATCAAACTACAAGGTAAGAACTTCATATGTTAGAATATATAATTTATGTGATTACTAGCAAATAATGCAATAAATATTAAATTGTGAAATAGCCGAATTAGAAAATTATCACTACATATGCATAAGAAGTATAAAATCGAGTAAATTTTTTTAAGTAGTCGACGTGCAAAAAATTTTG